TTCCGCATCTTAGCGGAACGCCAATCCACGACTTATCAAGTCAGGCAAAAAGCCGATCAAGAAGGGTGCCGTCAAGATCTTGCTCTCGGCAGCTGGCGCCGAGAAGATGGCTCAGGCGTGGGCTGGATATCTGACCAACGCAGTGGTTCTCATCGTCATGCACCCCATCGTGGTGGTCTCGATTGCCCAGAAGGCGAACCTCTCCGCCGATGAGCGCCTGCTGCCTGCTGCCAAGAATGAGTGTGATGCAGATGCCGGCGAGCCCAAGCTGGCCGAGTCGTGGGTGGCGACGGCCAAGGAGATCTTTGCCGCACGCGGCATCGCTGGCTTCTACACCGCCTTTGGCGAGGCCCTCTTGGGCTCGTTCCTCTACCGCTCCCTGTACCTGGGCCTGTACTCCACCATGGTGCCTCCGCTTGTGCCTCTCGTCGGAAGATTTAGCGCCTCGATGGTTTTACTGCCGGCGTCGGCATCGCCGTCGCGCCCTTAAGCTGTCTCTACCACCGCAAGGCCGCTGGCGCCATCTTTACCGTCGATCAGGCGGCTGCCCTCCCGTCGCGGCAGAGCTCGACCTGGGCCCTTGCCGTCTCGGCCTACCATCGAGAGGGTCCACTTGCGCTATGGTCTGGAGCTCTCATCACTCTCCTGCGCCCCTTTGCCGCCTTTGCCGCCCAATCCGGTGCTATTGCAGGCTTGGCCGTCATCGGTATGTAGCCAAAGACCATCGACCATCGCTTCATCCCCCGATCGAGTTGCGCCAACCGGCCTACCCTGCTCGCCGCGCCCTCGCCGCACCCTGACCGCGCCACACACGCACACGCCTGCAATGTGCGGACACCGTCTCCGATGGAAGTAATACTACAAGATGAGTTGTGCAAAGGGTTTTTTTCTCCACTTTCACTGCAACCCCTCAACGGCCTGGCCTTTGATAGCTCTCTGGTGGTAGCCATACTCACGCGTCACCATCAAGTAGATAACTACTGCGGTTGTGTGGCGTCTTACGTTCATCGACAATGTGCCTGGGCTTTTCGGCCGCGAAACCTGCTCACAACCTGAGTCGGGGCGGGCTCGTTCAGCGATCATCCACCGCAAAGTTTGTGTTTGTTTCAACACAGGGCGAGAAACGGGTAGCCACACATATTGCCGCCGCAGCGTTCAATCACATGTCCGCAACTACATGCGCCACATGGGCGATGGCCGAGTCGACGGTGACGTTGCCGATGACAGCTGCATGGGCTACCATGTCGCTGACAAGGACTACAAAATCGTCAAAGGCGAGGCCGGCCACTTCACTCGCCAGCGAGTTGGCATCGTCAACGCTCTCCCCAAACGCCATCAGCACCGACTGGATGATGTGCTCCGGGACATGGTTGCGGTACTCGGCCGAGATGGGCGCAAGCGTCCGCGCAACCAGGGCGACAAGCTCGGGTTGCTCGCCGTCGTCGCTCTCGCCGTCGTAAACGTAGACGTACTCGGACGATCCGTCGTCAGACTCGGGGTGCAGCTGGTGTTCCGGTTGGTGTTCCGGCTGCTGCTCCGGCTGCAGCTCCGTCTGCTGCTCCAACTGCTGCTCCGGCTCTGGCGCTGCTTCATCATCGCTGCTGGTATGGCCCTCGAGATGAGCAAGGATGTCGTCGAGTGACGGGTCCTTTCCCAACGGATGGTCCGGCGTCTCCAGCGCAGTGCGGGCGGCGGCGAGATCGTCCTCCAGTCGCTGGACATGGGCGGCGTAGTCTGCGCCATGTCGACCGATCATGTCCTGCTGCTTCTGGACGAGCGCCTCCAGAGCACCGTTCTTGGCCTCTAGTTCGGCGGTCCGGTCCGCAGCGGCCTGCAGTTTGGCCAGCAGGCGGTTCTTCTCGGCGACGGCGTCGAGGCGGAGCTGGGTAAGCTCAATCTCGCGCGCCTGCGCCTCGGTCCGAGCCTCGTCGCGCTCCCGGCGGACGCCAGCCATCTCGGCCAGCAGCTGTGCTTTTTGCTTGCGCAGCTCGGCAAGCTCGCCGCGGAGCACCGGCTCGCCCGATGCCGCAATGTCCTGCAGGGCAAGCGGGCTATCGCCGGGTGTGGCGATGGCAGAGGCGCCGCGCGAGAGCGAGCCCGTGTGCGGGCCGGAGCCAGCTCTCAGCGAGTGCGTCAGCCGCTGCGAGTCGCGAAACCTGTCCAACAGGGCGTCGTCCCGCTGGATCAACCTCGGTGCGCCCGCCGGCGCCGTCGCTCTGGCCAGATCCTCCAGCAGCATAGCGGCCGACGTGGCGCCCGAAGCCGCCGGATAGGCATACCTGCGCTGCGGCGAGGGCGATGTGGCATGGGCATGTGAAAGCAGTGGCGGGCGTGGGCTCGTCCGACGAGGCGGCGAGGGCGAGAGCACCGCGCCAGCTTGCAGCGCATCGATACGATGAGTCAGTGATGCCAACGTCGCCGCCAGCGACGACGCAGACGCCGCCATGGTCGACTCGCGCGCCGCACTCGACGCCGCCGCAAGCGAGAGCGGTCGCCCGGGACTGGCTCGGATCCCAGCCGTATACGTCCGTCCGCTCGACATGAGTGGGGAGGAGGAGGAGGTGGTGGTGGCTGTGGCTGTGGCTGTGGCTGTGGCGGTGCTGCTCCTGGCGCACAGCCAAACGGTCAAAAGTCGAGTGTCGCCTGCTGCTGGGCTGTCGCGGCTGCCAGTGGCGGCGAACCGGATGGCGGCGGCACGACATCCGATCAGCGTGGCAAGTCGGTATCTGCGTAGCCGTACACGCTTCGAGATGTGGTATGTGGTATGTACATAATAAGTACTGTTGCATCTGTCCTGGAGTACTGCCTTGCCGTGATCATGGCCCGAATAACCTCAAGCCCCTCCCATAGTGGGCTCCCAGACAGCCGCAGCCTGAGTGAATCTGGAGTCTCTCCGTCCCGGAAATCGTGGCCATGGTGATGGCTGGCGCATGCACAACCCCCCCCCCCCCCCCCCCCGCCCCGCGCGCTCAGTCGGCTCGTGCGTCATCGCTTCATCATCCATCACGATGCCATCCGCCGCTTTCCCACCGCATTTCGCCGCCGCCGACCCCCCCCCCCCCCTCTGCCATCCGTAGCCTCCCACCGCCATCCCAAAGGCCGTTCATGCTCCCACCCGGCCATCGACCACCTCTAGCACCATCACCACCCACCGCCCACCCTCGCAGTCCTTCTCCTTTCCCATCGCTCCCCTCCCACCACCTTTCCCGGCACGATAACGTTCCGAAACGCCAATGTGGACCTCACTCCGCCCACCATTAATGGAACGTTCACAATGGTAGCTTCCGCTCGCCGGCCGAAGGTTCGTCTTCCGACCACACTTGGCGCGAACCCCCGCCCCCCTCCCCCCTCCCTCGCCCTGTAGCCATTGACAAGGTGGTGAGCTGGAGGATCTTGTCAAGACATGCTCCCGTCATGGGCTATTGGTGTTGTGCTCTCTGCGGTGGGGTCAATCATTCTCAATGTGGGACACAATCTCATGAAGGCTGCTCATATGGCCAATGTCCTCGCAGCTGCCGCCGCTGACCAGCGCCCGGTCTTGTACCTTCGCCTGCCGCGATGGTGGGCTGGCATGGCTCTGTTTTTGGCCGGAAATGCTTTGGACTTTGTGGCGCTGTCGTTTGCGGCGCAATCGCTCATTGCTGCTCTCGGTGGCATCTCGCTCGTCTCCAACGTTCTCCTCGCCTCAATCATCAATGGTGAGACGCTCTCGGTGCTCGACGGCGTGGGGACGGTGCTCGTCATCTCGGGCGCCATCCTGGCCGTGCTCTTTGGCAATCGCAACGACAAAGACTACGACGCAGACTCGCTGTTGGACCTCTTTGACTCGTTGATCCTCTGGATCTATTGGGCCGCAGTCATTGGGGCTGTTACTGTCCTCGCCTTTGTTGTTCTCCGCATCCGCGACCGCAAGGCCGCGCGCGAAGCCGCCATCCGCCAGCAGCGGCTCAATCGAGCTGCCGCCCCTGACGAAGGCTGCGACGACGACGTCAACGTCGACGCCGGTGACGACTGGGGCATCACGCTCCTCCCGCTGCTGCACATCTGCATTGGCGGCCTGGTCGGCGGCCAGACCGCCATCGGCGCCAAGGCCTCGTCCGAGATGCTCGCCGCGACTGTCATCCGCGGCGACTCGCAGCTCACGCAGCCGTGGGTTTACGCCATTGTCGGCGTGACTGCCATCACGGCGCTCACGCAGCTTCATCAGTTCCAGCTGGCACTGTCGCTGGCGGACTCGCTCTTTGTTGTTCCGACCTACTACGTGGTGTGGACCGTCTTCACCCTTATTTCGGCTGGCATCTTCTACGGCGACTTTGACTCGGACCAGCTCGACGCAAGCCAGCTTGCGGTCTTTGCTGTTGGCATCATGCTCACCTTTGCCGGCGTCTACGCCATCTGCCACAGGCTCCGCGCCTCGGCGCCCGCCGCACCCTCCGATCCCGAGCTCGAGCCCGTCGGTGCCTCGGACTCCGAAAGCTCGCTTTATCCGGTCCTCATTCACCCCATTGATGCGCCCTCGTCGCCTTGCGCGAGCACCGCAACTCCTGGCGCCGTCTTTGTCCCCTGCCCCTTTTCATCTGACGGCGAGATCCGGTACTCGTCCGAAAAAGACGGCTGGTACTCGGAATCCATCCCAGCTTCGGGGTCGGGGTCGGAATCGGGGTCGGGGTCGGGGTCGGGATCGTCGTCTCTGGTCACTCTCTAATCACACACCGAATCTGTCTGCAGGTCGACTCGTCGTCGGCCCCGGCAACGTGCCAGGCCAATCGCACCGCAGCACAACGGAACTCTACCCAGTACCCAATTCATCAGCTTGCTCACTGCGCCTGCCGACCATCCAACACGCGTGTCAGCTCAGGATCCACCGGCCTCGCGCATTGGACTAACCGCTGGTCTCGCCCCCCCCCCCCCCCCCCCCCTCGCGCGCACCGGCGGCATTCCAAATGGGCAGACCATGTCACCCCGGATCAACCAGCAAAGCGCCATCTCATCCATGTCTCACCCATCATTATCATCTTCTCACTCTCGTCGAGCAGAGCCTTGCCCGTCCCCATACCCCTGTGTCGGTAACGGCAGGCTGACGACATCTCGCTGGCTATTTTCCCAACGACACTGCACGGCACGATCCTCGCTGACTGGGGGCACCTGGCGCACGGAGGCGGGAGTGAGGGAGAACGCCATTCGACTCTCTCACCAACACTTTGGACACAAAGTGCTTGCTGTAGGGATGCACACTATGAGGGTTATCTCATGCTTGCTCTTTCTACTTGCTACTGTATGTAGTCCTCCATTCCC